CTTTCTGGTGTTCTAGACTGTCTTCCCACAAAAGATTCCTTTTCTGTAGGACGGGAGAAGATAGAGAAGAGGCAGCTGCTCTCTCTAGAAGCCTCCAAATCAGGCAGGACTTGAACCACCCCTTATAGAAAACTCCAAAGAACCCTAAAAAATTAGGGCGCCACTTTCTAAGTCAAAATTGAAGAGTCCAACAGAAACATGACTCTTCTCCTTTCTCTAGTTTTTCCTGATTTTGATGAGAAACCCTAGACCAGTTATAGGGCACACAGATCCACCAAAAAATCCAAAAATTGGACTTACCTGAGATTTTCGATCAACCTCTTAAATGTAGTTGGCCGATCTAGGGCTACATGAAAAAACAACTCAAGGAACCTTTGGCCTGCTTTGATACCAAGTAGAAATCACTGATTGCAGATTTAGTCGAATTTCTTGTGAAGGGAAAGAGGAGGAAGATGAAGATTTCAGCTATAGAAAAGAAAAGAGGAGAAAAGAGTAGTAATTCAACTAGGATTCTTAGATTAACCCTAACCGCCAACCCCTCATTATATTTATACTTAACTTAAAGGATGAGATATGACAAGGATGCCCTTAGTAGGGCGGCTACTAATGTAGCTGAACAGTCACAACTTAAAAACATAAACTAATGGGCCTAAAGCCCAACAACTTCCTAACTAAATAACTTAAAATAAGAATAAAAACAACTAGGCCCAACTCAACACCTTTCTCCCCCCCCCCACCCTCATGCTCCCCTCACTATTGGTTGCTTTATCATTGAGGCTCCAAGTCAAAGCAGCAATTCTCTACTTCTTTTAGATTTGTTACCCCCCTTCTTTACTACAGCTTCCCCCTAGCTAGACGCACTCTTTGCTCTACCCCCTCCAAGTACTTGATAGTTTCCTCTTTCAAACCTTCTAACGAGATCCCCAAAAACTTTCCCAAACCCATCAGCTTAGAAGAAACCCAAGAAGAATCAAAAACACTTACAGGTTGCTCCCCTACCAGATTCGGCTGAACCAATAACAGGCTGCTGCTCTTCTGAGGCTGCCCATCCGAATCAGCACCCGTAGCAGTTTCACAAAACTTGCTACCTTCCACCTGTGATCCAACACCCTCTTGTTCACCTCCCCCACCTATAACTTGAGAATTTGCGGCCACCATGGTTTAAAGTATCGATACGATACGCCTCGTATCGAGCGTATCGTATCTTTTGAAAAAGATACGGTCCGAAATGCCTGTTTCCAGGTGTTTCGAAACCCCTATTTTTTTATTAATAAAAAACATGTTTTTAGCTTCCCAAAAAACCAAAATTTGAAAAAAAAAACAAAAAAAAAGGTGTTTCAGCCGTTTCTAAGTACCAATACAATACATCCGATATGCGTATCGTATCGATACTTAACCTTGGCGGCCACCATCGTGATCGGATCTACCTCCATCAGCTCCTCTTCCTCTCTCAGCACTGCTAACCGGTTGGACTCCAACTATATCTCACCTTCCAAAGTAGCCGATTGGGAAGGCAACGACTTCACAACCGCCGAGCCGAGGTTCAAAGTCCCCCCCACCCTTCTCCCTACATGAAGCAAGCACCCAATGGTCCTGAGAGTCCCGATTAGCCCCTGAACCCACTACCTGTTGACAACACCCAATCGGAGGACTGAGATCCGGATTCGCATGCACCCATCGACCAAGGGGGGAACTGGACTCATTATACCCATTGGGCCCAGGCCTAACATCTGGGTTAAAAGGATGTGGAACCGGCTGGGTTGGGAAAAGCAAACCAGGCCCAGAAACTTCATCCGAAATGCCATGAGCCACCTGAGACTCGAGGAGGGGGGCTGGTAGACCACATATTGACTAACTGGCATGCGGCCCTCCCTAGGTGCCAACTAGAGCTCGGATAGGCACCCTTTGATTAACTCTTTAATGACTTCAACTCCCAAAGCTTGCCCGCTGCCCCCCAAATTTGAAATTCGAAAATCCTTTACAACAGTTTCCTAGTCGTGCCCATCTAGACCCTTTGTTGTCGCTAAGATCGGACCGTTCATAGAAACCCCCAGCTCTGCATCTTCTTCTCTATCACCGGCCGCCGAAGAAGTTGCTCGCGTACAAGTCTTCTAGCTTCGCACTACTTCAGATAAACAGGGGAGAACACTCTTGCCAGAGTCTTCCAGGACCAAAGTCTTGGTACACGACAGCTCTTCTCCACCTCTCCATCTTCGAGCGGACGACAACAACTCTTGTCAAATCTAGACAGTGAACACCACTTCCCCCGCCACCACTTCAATCTTGTTCGGAATGTGGTTCCCCCTACGAACTCTCATTCTTACCCATTCGCAGGTCGCAATCTCCAGAGGAGAATCATCCGTCTCTATGAAGCCCCCGCATGCATCCCCAATAGCCCTTATTACACTTGGGCACCAGAGAAGAAGGGGGAATCCAAATACCCTAATCCAACTCGACTCCAGGTCCTCCCCTACTGCGAAAGGGTCAGGGTAATGGCAGCCCACACTCGCCCCCGACTAGTCCAGCAAGAGGGGGTTTCTTCCCATTTGCCAAGGACCTTGTCTTAACACCCATTCCGCACCAGCTCTTGACGGACAAATGAAGAGGAAGAGTCCTTCTGCCATTGTCTTCACTTTCACACCCCCCACCTCCCTCCAATGTTTGTTTGCCCATATCTCTACCTCCCTAATCTCCTCCCCCCAACGGAACCTTCCCACCAAACAGTTCCGCAAGAAATCTCTCCTCGCATTCACCGCCTGAGGAGAGATTGAGCCTTGCCCTCCCTTCGTTCCCTAATCTGTGGTACCGGTTGAAGGCTTCCCATCTTTGCTTACCTCCACTTGATCTACTGTAAGAAAAGTTATTCCATCGAAACTTCAGACTAGTTACATCTGCAAGTTACGCTCCCATCTTCGCTTACAACTGCAATTTTTATTATAATGTTATGATTATGAGATTTATAGGTTCTGAAGAAAATAACATTAAAAAAAATAAGGGCAAATTCCCGATCAGTATACTGTACTTTGGCTTGAGTGACAATTTGGTCCCTGAACTTTAAAATGCGACAACCCAGTACCTGAACTTTCAAAATGTGACAATCCAGTACCTGCCATTAACCAGTCCGTTAATCAGCAGTTAAGTGACATTTGAAAAGTCAAAAATGCCCTTTGAATGCCATCTAATTCTCTTTATCAATCATCCAAATGTTGACAAAAAACTGAACAACCCCAAATCCTAGCCTCTTCTATTCAAAAAAGTTGGTACCTGTTTAGAAGAATCTAGAATTTGGGACTGTTCATTTTATTGTCAATGTTTGGATGGTTGATAAAGAGAATTAGATGGCATTCTTAGGGCATTTTTGACTTTTCAAATGTCACTTAACGGCTGATTGACGGACTAGTTAACGACAGGTACTGGATTGTCACATTTTGAAAGTTCGAGTACTGGATTGTCACATTTTGAAAGTTTGGGTACCGAATCGTCGCATTTTAAAGTTCGGGGACCAAATTGTCACTCGAGCCAAAGTACAGGGTACTGATCAGGAATTTTCCCAAAAAATAAGGCTGATAGAAAGTCTGAATAAGTCTTTGGTTAATTGAATGTTTAAGAATATTAGGATAAAAATTGGTGTATAGAACTGGTCCTAGTTATTCAGGGTTTTGGAAGGATAAACTGGATATGTACCTAACCCTCTTGTATTTCAGCACATATATTAACACTTGTCAACTCTAGATTTTTCTTTTGATAGATAATGGTAGTTTTATTTATTAAATTAACAAGCATATACAACATACAGCTCCCCGCAATGAGGTGCGAGGTGCAGCCTCTAGAGTATATCATAAAGCTTACAAATGAGCCCAAAAGAGCTGATTCCTATGTACCCCTTGTTTGGCTAGAAAATCTGCCAGCCCATTTTCCGATCTTCTTTCCCATTGAACTGTGACTGAGATATTTGATGTTGGCCACTTAAATCTTCTCAAAGCCCCCCTGTAGGGCCAGGCTGCTGTCTCCGGCTCTTTTAGCCATCCAATAACCAATTTCGAGTAACCTTCAATCATTAAATGCTCCACTGCCAGCTCTTTTGCAATTTCTGCTCCTTGTAGAACAGCTTGGACTTCTGCACCAGAAAATAGAGCAACAATCTGGCCCTCAGCATTTCTGAAGACTCCCCCAATTCCAGATGGCCCCAGGTTTCCCAAGCTGCTGCCATCAAAATTTAATTTAATAACACCAGCCTCAGGAACCTTCCACTCCACCAAAGGCCTGTTTCTAACATCAGAACATTCGGATACTTGCTCCCCATTCCTCCTTATATCATCGAAGAGAAGGGTGAGAACAGGTCCAAAGACTTTACCCAGCACTGAACAATGAGCCCTTATATGATTAGACTCTTGAAACAAAATAAAATCCTCAGCACCGATTTTCAACTTGAACTTATAGTTTGCCTATTAGTTGTTTATGTGCTTTAGGTACAGTATTTGAAATGATTTTATTAACTTAAAGTTATTTTTAAATATACCTAAATTGTTGAGTTAGCTTTTAAGACTTGAAACTTTGGGAGACTGAGAGGTAGTCCAAGTATTGGATATCTGATACCATCTAGCCTTAGTGGTATGTTGAAGTTTAGAAATCACAGGAAATTTATTGTTTTCCATGAAAGACTATAGCGACCGCATTCCCTTCAAAAATTTATTATTAGATAAGCTTGAGAAGTGAAGACATCAGGTCTATTCACCAGAAGATTTCAGATGCAAATGTAGGAATCATTTCTTCAGTGACACCACAGTTAACATCTCTGTAACAAGGATGCTCAAAGGTAAATGCAGATATTCAAGAATAATAGATGAACAAGAGAAACTTTGAAATAAGTGGTTCTACAACCACTAAACAAATTAAACTATTGCATATGCATTATTTAACAACAGAAAGAAATGGCAGCACAATCAGATGAATGGCTGATGATGCTCACTAAGAGCTAAAAGAAGGTATAGAATAATAACCTGAATAATGCCTTTTACCCTCCAAACTCCATGTTTAAGGACAACTATTTGAGGGTCATTTGGGTGTAACTGTTTAAGCTCCTGTCTCACAGCCTCCAAGTTGGCATTATGTTCAGTTGATAACTGTATAGCAGCAATGCCTCCAGTGTTGCCAACTTTCTTCCCAAGTACAACACGGGAATCTCCAACATTTGCCACATAGAGAGTCCGCTGATGGATGACTCCAACCAGACAGCATGAACCAACCGTTGCTATGCTCGGTCTGCTACTCCATAGCTCAGAAACGAGTGAAGTAAACCGTTCCTCAGTTTGAAGAAAGGCTCTCCGAATGGTCTCACATGTCACACCCTGGGATTCCGTTGATGTCTCTGCAGAAACACAACTCCTACAATTCAGAACGATTGATGTTCATCTCTAATGGCCGGCAAAAGAACTAAAAAAAATAATACTGGAATACACGGTACAACACAACATCAGACTAGATGCTCAGAGCCAAGAATAGAAGGACACGGCACTAAGAAATTATGGATGTAAATAGTATAGGACAACAAAAGTGATATGGAAGCAACGATATCCTGAATTCATGTTGAAGTCCACCCGATCTCTTCTCATCCTTCTTGTTGTTAGCGAGCAAGATAAACAAACATTATATTGACCCAGAAAAAACAAAAGCAAGGTAACCATTACAGACAATCACCGGAGCTTCCAATATACGAAGACTGCGTTAGAACACCTTTCCTTGCCAATGAGCCAGCTTCTTCCACATTCCTGAGAGTAGAATTGTAAAAAACATATAGTATTCGATTGGTATCCCTAACGCTTTCGATTTTAGGAAAATTGAGTACTCTCTAGAGAATGACCGAACTGCAGGTTATCCTAGATTTGACATTGCTTCATTGCTTGAATCAGCCTCTACCAGAGTACCAGTACCAATAACAAACGTGCTTTCCTCGGCTTCTTGGAGTCCTTAACCAAAATTTCGAGTTAGTTTTGAGCTTTGACGGTGTGATAAGTAGAAAGTACACATGATTTCATACTTTTAAATCCGAACTCAAGATTGTAGGAAAAATTGTTAAACCCAGTAATATTAACACTGAAAAGCTGTGGCCATTTGACAAGACTTAACTAAGGATTAGAAGCAGAACTGAACTGTGGTTCGGATATTTATAGAGTCTGGCTGGCACGTATTCATTTTTAGCTAATCCATTTGCACCTAAAGAAAGCTCGGGGCAGAACAGAAGCAAGGCAAAGGCGGAAAAAAAAAGTATAAGCATTAAGCATTAAGCATACCTTGAAAATGGCGGAAGAGATGATCGCAGACGTAGCGAGCGGCGTCGGGGCCTCCGTGGCCATCGTAGACACCGACGAAAGTGCCAAAAGGACCAGACTCGATCTGGCTCTGGTCTTCGAGAACCTGGTTGGCCTGGATGACGGCCATGGAGAAATCACCGAAGCCATAACGTCCGATATCACGAAACCATAGTAAACCATCTCTGCCTTCCCGGCCAGCATCAGCAGAAACATTGACGCCAAGGGGCTTCGAACAGAGAGAGAACAGTTTCATCAAAGCTTCGGGCATCCCACATCTCTCAGAAGAAGTCCAAACCCAAACGAAAACGGGAAGTCTAGAAGAGTAGTGATTGTAAATAAAGACAAAAAATACTCAAGGTTTTGAGTTTGAGAGGGGGAGGAATGGTGCGCAGGTTAAGAGAGAGAGAGGGGGGGCGCAGGTTAAGAGGGAGGGATCAGGGAAGTGGGGGAAGTAGGGATTTGTTGATGTTCGGTGGAAGAGGAACAGAGATGGCTTTGATATCGTTATCGTCAAGATAAGATGGCGTGGGGTGTTGTGGGGTGTGGGGATTGAGGAAAGCCTTTTTCTCGTTGTTGGGTGTTTTTTACCAAACGACTTGTTCCCTTGCTTCCCCGCCCACCCTTCGCGTCGGTGCTCCCTCGTCCCTCTTCCGGTTTATCAAGTACAACGTGTCGGTATCGTAAATAAAACTAAAAGTATCGGAACGACAAATTTAGGATGCGTATCGGGGTATTTAAGAGATGGATGATGGATCTATTACTAATTTATTATTCATACTACAAACCATATTTCTGGCTCCGAAATTCTTTAAATATATCAATAACGTTAAATTCAAGACTTAAATAACTACAAATTACTAGTGGGTCCGTATGGGGATACTTGTTGATATCTAATATGTATTATGATAATTAAAAAGAAATGTAAATAAAGTATTTTACCTAATATAAATAGTTAAATAGATAATTAATTAATTAATTAATTAACTATGGACAGAAATAAAATCTATATATTTCCTAACAATTCATCTATACTAATAAATTACAAAGATTCCCCTTGTACTATGGGGTCTGTGATAAAGACCCCCTTGTACTTTGTTTTGCGAAAAAGACCCCCCCTGCACTATGACCATGAGACAAAGATCCCCCTTGACCGTTAAGTCAAATGACAGAATGCATTAAATTACTAAAATACCCTACTAAACTTCTATTTTCTTGTTTTTCCATGTTTCTCTTAAAACCTATTTTAACCTATTGTTTTCCCTTTCTTCTCTTCTTTTCCCCTCCCTCATCGTCTTCTCTCATTCTTTCTCTCTCAACTCTCTGAAATGAAAGAACGGAGGAAACCCATTTCTCATCTTTCCTTTCTTCTCTTCTCCGTCTTCAATCTCGTCTCTATAGCTGTTGCCAACGATGCCACGATCATGAAAAACATACTCGGACTGAGTGGGCTTCCCCAAAGGAGACTTATAGTCTACCCAGTAATGACCAATGCTTTTGCCATTAACCCAAACCATGCCCTTGCCCATACTTGTTAGATTGAGAGCGATTGGGTTGTCTCCTTCAGAAACGTTGAAGTTCTGGAATGAGAAATTTTCATCTTATCTGTTACCATTCGTAGCTAGATATAAGTTGTAATAAAAGAAAAAGCAAAAACATCACACCAAATTCGGTCTGATCACTGATCAAATTCCAGTAGTAGTGGTTTCCCGCAATGATACCTTGTACCATGTAAGAGCATGTCCACCCCCCTTGGCCTCTTTCCACGATACCTTCTCTGTTCCCTCTGGAGTAAAGATTTGGTTCTTTTCTCCATCCACTCCAACCTGTGGCATGCGCCAAGGTTAATCCATCGGGTAGCTGCTGCTCATGGACTGAGATATATGGTGCAGTTTAAGCTTAGAAAGTTGATGCATGATTACCTGATGTCCCCATCCATTGGCCGATAGATCAAGTGTTATGGTGTTCAAACCTTGGACAGCTACACGATGAACACCAGCAAGCCTAATGTTCAAGTAGGCTCCACTATCCTTTATTCAGAGAGAGAGAGAGAGATATGGTTGCCATGTTCGGACTTTCATTCCTAACAATTGTATGTGGTTGGTCCCAGGTTTCAGGGGTATTGGTTTCTGGAATGTGAAAGCCTTTTCAATATGGCTGCCATGTTTGGACCCTGAAATCCAAAACAAGGAAAAGCAAGTAGAATATATATATATATATATAGTAGGGTGGTCTAGGCAATTAGTCAATAATCAAATTGTAAGCTATCTGTTCTTCATCTGCAAGGAACAGAAAAAAGAGAAAATCGGAAAGAAGAAAGGGGAAGAAGAGAGACCGGGGGAAAGAGAAAGAGAGAGGGAGAGAGAGAGTGGGAGGACTTAAACGGAAATTCGCCACCGCTACAATAGCTACCACCGCTGTTGTTCGTGTATTGTAAGGTTTGGGAAGATGAACAGTGGTTTTCTCCCAATTAATAGTTATTACAAGGGTAGTATGGGGATTAACAAATACAGTAACGGTGGATTTCAACGGAAAGCTAACGGAAGGGGGTCTTTGTCTCACGGTCATAATATAGGGGGGTCTTTGTCGCAAAACAAAGTACAGAGGGGTCTTTGTCACAGACCCCATAGTACAGGGGGGTCTTTGTAATTTACCCTATTTTTAATCTCTAAGGCTGCATTTGGCATTCCTTATTTTAAGGACTTATCTCCTTTTTGAAGTTAAAATGCCCCTAGGAATATTGAGTTTTTAACTGCAAAAATGAGATAAGTCCTTAAAATAAGGAATGCCAAATGTGGCCTAAATCAATATATAAATTAACTTAGTCATGTATATATAATTAATATAGGTGTTTTTTTTTACTTCAATATAAACTAAATTAAAATAATTAATCAAGTTGCATTAATTAAATTGACCCATCTAATCTAATAGGGGCCTTGTATGATGTGTAGGATTTGTTAAACAAAATCTTAGTTGAAGGACCCTTGTGACATTTTTTTGGATTATGTAATTTTAGATGTACTTGTATTAACTTTTCTATTAATGCTTATTAATTTTTATTATGGTTAGATAAATAATTGTTTATTTTTATTGTTCTAAATTGAAATTAAGTGACTATTGATTTTTATTGGATAAATTTGTTTTCAACTTTACTAATTTTTATTACATTTTATTTATTCTCATTTATCTTATATGAAATTTAAATATAGGTACCGTGTACAAATAATAATTTCAGATTAAATGGCTAATTTAAAACATGTAATACAATATTACAGATATATACTTACTAATGCTTATTAACTTGTTTTAGTACTATTTATTAATACTTATTTTAATTTTCTTAATTTATCTTAGAATTACTTTATTATGACTAACTTTATGTGTTTGTATTATATATTATTAATTACCAATTTATTAAGTGTTATAATATTTCCCTTTTAGTTTTCCAAAACAAAAACTACTACTATTATATATCTATTTTTTGTATTAATTTAAAAGGGTTAGTTAATAGTTATGGCCTTACTTTCGTAAAAGTTGTGATTTGATTTTATTTACCAATAGGTAATGTTTTTAAAACCTACAAAAAAAAATTATTTTTTTGTTTGTGTGATGTATTAGTGGTTTAACCATTTGGGTTAAATAGGCCAGTTCGTGATGTTATAAATTGAATAGTAAAATATAAAAATAAAAAGATATAAAAATTAAAAAAAAATGTAGGAAAAACCGGGAATGTCTTTAATGTTATATATTTATCTTGTTAACTAAAAAAATAAGTAAGAATTATTGTTATTAATGATAAAAATGACTAAAAACAAAAAATAAATAAATTCCCAACATGTGACCCGTTATGTCAAATGAGTTTAATGGTTCAACCAGTAGGGTCCATTAGTTGAGAAAAGTTTTTTTAGGTGAAATGGTTGAGGGTAAAATGGGCTTAAAAATATGACTGATGACTGATCCACTAGTTCGGCTTCCCGGTTTGCCTATGGGTTGAAAACAATGGAAATAAGAACAAATCATCTTAGGAGGTGTTCTTAAAGTTTATTTTCATGGTAGAGAAATAATAAAAGGTCTGGAAGCTTCAATAATGCAGATTAAAATATATGAAACAATCTAAGGCATAATGGTCAAGATTGAATGAAAGCTTGGGGAAAAAAAATGGTTTTATCTTATCCACAATGTGTGAAGTGTGCTCACTAAACATAATAAAAATTTATAGAAGTCTTAGTGGGTTGGTTACAAGGTAATGAATACTTTTAAACAAAGGATATAGTTGCACTGAGCTTGGAGAAAGGTGGTTTAATCTTATCCCCACAATGAAGTCACCTAATTTCTAAATTCTAATTAATACTGTTTGTATATTTTGGAATCTCTTATCATGTAGGCTATTGATGAGGGATGTGAATCCTAAGGCCTTGTGGTAATATTCAGTGCTTTGTGTTTTTGTCAAAGGTGCAAAGTACATATATCATATAATACTTCTGTTTTAATACTTTTACTTTGGAAACCCTTTGAAGAAAACTTTTTTAAAAAAATACTCTTAAAAGTAAAAATAAATAATGCTATTTGGATACAACAAGATGCTCTTCACATGTGTATGTTATGTGGCATCCACATATGCCACCATGTAGCATATAACATCAGATGCCACATGGCATCTATATACTCATTTGCCATTATTTGCATTCAAATGCTATGCGGCATTCATATATGCATTCACATGGAACACACTTATTCTTATTTGTGTTCATATGTCACATGGCATATATATCATTGGTAATGTTCAAATGCCATGTGGCATACAATTGTCATTGTACACCTTCAAATGCCATATGGCATTTAAAAATACCACCATATGATATATACATGTCATTGGATAAGTTCAAATGCCATGTAACATCTATATATGCTGTCACATCACATGATACACACATGCCATATGGTAGAGTGTACAAGTATCACACATGTGATTGATGAACACATTTTAGAAAGTATAAAATATGTGAAAGGGCAAAATAACATGAAGTATCAAAATCCAACATCTGTATGTGCTGATCTTGAATTGACTAAAAGACCTTTGAATAATAGGGAATTTTGATGCTCGTTCATATACTTGTTTATTACTTATATATAACAAAAAATAATAGGAAATTAAATGTGAGTTCTGGACCATGATTTTTAAAACCAACCCGGAGACTGAACCGATCAGGGGTCCGGTTATCGGGTTGAACGGTTGGCCCGCTCTGATAAAAAAATTTAAAAAATTAAAAAAATAAAAATGGTCAAAACCGTTTGAACGGTTAAGTGACCAAAATCAATAGTTTTTGGTGAAAATCTGGTCTTGGGGAAAAACAGAACCGGTCACCTGATCGGTTCCTAGTTTTTCTGGTCTGACTGGTCCGGTTTTAAAAACCATGTCCTAGACCCAACCCGCCTACCCTACCTTCTCTACCCTTAGATGAAAGGAGGATAGAGTCGGATAGGATTTTGCATTTTCATGTATAAGAAGGAGAGTCTGAATTGGAAAAACCC